TCTTTATTATTTCTTTTTGCCCTTATATGATAGGACAGCGTAAGATGGGCGGGAAAGTCTACCTTATAAACACTGAAAAAGAAAGAAGGACCCACAAAACTCTGAGGGGCAAATTAACGCTGATAGCGCCATGGATTGTGTATCACTTGCAACTGCTACCTGCCCTGTCTCAAGGTCTGATTCACAAAAGATATTGTGCTAATATTACAGCACAAAAACAGCATTAACTTTTTCAGCTGAGTGGAATTTGCCCTTGTTTTGAGTTTATCTGCAGTTCTCTGTCGTGTTCCCAGTAATATTTGTTCTTCAAGTGTACTGAAGTACCATCACAGTTAAGCAACCTTTGAGTCAAAAACGTATAAATGCTGTTGCAAGAACAAAACCTTCCACTCGAATCTTAAAATGTTTTTACAACTATTACGCTCTTTCATTCGTTTCTGACTGCCTGACTCACTGTTTATGGAGTGTTTTCACAGAGTGATAATTTGGGGGAGCTTTAACTGTGCTTTCTCCCTCATGCCTCTCAGCGAACAGAGAGCTGTTTTCTCTCCAGTGTGTAACTGTCGTCTCCGTTTCTCACCGCAGCAGGTTCTATGTTGTTTTAGTTTTATTAACTCATGATGAACCAGGTATTCGCCCCTGAATGTCATGTGCCTGAATGTGAGCACTACCTGTAGGCGGTGGTGTTGTAGATTCTACAGGCTCCTATGCCTCCACACCTCTTCTGACCCCATTTTAGACATGTGGTGTCAATGATTGCTCCAAAGTAGATGGGTGCTGGGATCCCCGCTGTGGAATAAAAAACATATTTTTAAAACCCGATCCCCCAGAACTGAAACACACTGTTCAGGAAAAAAACGTGTAGACAGGGCTCAAACACTGGAATTTTGGCAAACCCATGCATTTTGGAGCGTTGGTGGTAGTTAAGGTGACAGGGAAGTTTGCATCTTGGCCCTGAGCCACTCGAACGTGCTCGAAGGAGGATGCATGTTTTGAAGGAGACTTACCAAGGGTGCGTGTTGCCAGAGCATGGAAACCCAAGGCCAAAGATTTTAACTGTGGTTTGATGCACCTGCATGAGGAAAAAATTTATAAATTTTTCATGAAATATAATCAGAAACTGGTTAAAAAATATCTGCAGCACAAAACCCAGAACTTGCGTCTCTGGAAATCAACATCAGAATAAAAAAAATACTATACAGACATTAAAAAGAGACAATAAGACATAGAGACACAACAAGTAAACTTATTTCATTCCAGTGAGAACAGTGCATTACAATAGGATCAGCTGATATGGCTTTAGGAGACCTTGTATGTATGTGGGGGTGTTTGAATGTGCATTTGTCATGTGTAGGTGTAATCTCTACGACATTCTCTCAATCTAAACTTTTTTTATTTGAAAAGAACATATCAATATATAGAATGAGATACAAGGAGAACAAAGCAGAAGATTAAAAGTAATATGTGCTACTGAGGTGTGCTTTAATCATCAGTAAAAGGTGTCAGACAGCAGAGGGCACTGTGGTCCAGAAGACTCTACATCGAGTTCACAATACATGACATGGGGCTATACCATATGTATATACTGCATGTATTCCAGTGCAATACCTATGGCAAACTCGTATTGTATTATTGTACTTGTATTTTATTAAGAAGATTATGTCTTTTTACTTTTCAGTTATTTTCTTTAAAACACAGCTGCTGTGCGCATGAGTCAGATTGGTTGGGCCCAGGGCTGGGTGGCGAGCAGGTCAGGAGCTGGCAGGAAAAACCTCAGTATGCATGTTCTACAAGGACCCTCCTGTACTACCAAGTAGTAGGTGCCTCCTCTTACAGCCTCTAGTCCATGAACAGCATTCTCTACTCATTTATCTGTCATAAAATATTAAATTAAAGAGGACTTGAAATGCTACTACATTCGCAGCTACAGCCAATGAGGTCAACCTTGAGCTAATTGAGCTGATAGGCCAGAAAGAGCTGCTCCACATTATGAGTCACCTGCATTTTTAGATTTTTATTTGCTAATATTACAGCTCTATTTGACAAAATTCTTTTTAAGAAATTAATACATTTAATGAGTAACAAAATAATATAATTTAACTAGAATCACAACAACACAGAACAACCAGTCTCTGCTCAGTAAGCCAAAATATTCCTCCATCACTTTTGTTGATTATCATATCTCAAGGCTTTTTTTAAGCATGAGCTCTTTCCAGCACACAATGTATCACACATACTACGCACAAAAAGCTGCATTCCTGTCATTTCACTCAACCCTTCACCAATGCAATTACAGGACATCAACCAATCCTCTACTAATCCCCTTGAGAAAAATTAGTGGGAGCGATACAGCACTGATTGTCACAACCCATTTCATCTTTATCACAAGGGCCGTCATTATAGTAAATTAATGAAGGATGGGTTCACTGTTCATTGTCAGTCATAACACAAAACCACTGATTCAGTTTTGAGAAACTTAGCATTCTGCAGCAGCTCCTCGCAGCCTCACAATTTGTAACTTTGTAACTTTCTAAAATACCTGCTGCAAGCACTGAATTATATATATATATATATATATATATATATGTTTTAAATGTGTTTGGAATTGATGCCTATCATCTCAGCTAATACTACCAGCAAAGTTCTCAGGAGCAGGAGTTGTCAGTTACGGAATGTGCTCTCATTACAAGATTAGAAAGTCAACAAGACAAGAGTTTCCACTTTGCTGATGATAACTCAACAGTCTCCCTGACCTCATTTGTGCGCATTAGATCACAGATTGGCCTTCAAGGATTTAAGTGATTTTCAGCTGGCCGGGTCATTCCACCCTGCACCAACATATCAAGGGATTTAGACCTCAACAAAATCACATGATTGGAAACAGACTATTTTTGAACAGTTTGTTTGACAAAGCCACTGTTTATATGTGTGACACACAGACATAAAGACACACGCAAACAAGTATCCCTTGCCGATAACAGTAAGTCAGCTATAAATGGCCCCAATCATTGTCTCTGAGTGCTTTGATCCTGAAGGCAGCAAAATAAAAACTTCCCACACTTCCCATGATTCCTTGAAATAAGCAGCTCGTGCAGACGTAAGGTCTGCAAAAATGATGAATGAAAAGATTTTCTTCCTTTTAAAGTAACTCAATCAAAGTAATAAATGAGGATATTTTTTTTTCATTGTAAAAAGCTATTGCAAATACATTATGTGCAACCCAGAAAGAGTAGCTCCTGTTGTTACAGTATGGGGATCGAAATAATTAAATAGAACTGTCATTGAAGGAAAACACTGCTACAAATATGGGTTATATTAACTTGAATGCCAGTTAGCAACATTTGTGGGCTGAAAAAGAGCTTCTGAAATCAGCTCCAACTAACACAGCTCCAAATCAGCAAATTAAAGTTGCATCAGTGTATTAAATGTAAAATTTCATATGTCAAGGGGAAGAATCTGGGAAAAAATAGCAACACATGACAAAATGAGAAACATTTTGCATGATGGCATTAAAGCTACTGTGACCCTTTGTAGCAGTGGTAATTTAGTCATTTCAAGGTCCTTTTATCATTTTATTTTTGTCATTTGAATCTGACCTGATGAGAAGCATGTAGCCTGGTGTCCCCCCGAGGGAGATGATAAAGGAAGTGATGACAGAGAGAGCCAGGAAGTACGGGAACATCCTGTCACAGTCGTCCGTGTGAGGGCACTGACCTGTACTGGCCGTAAAGTTACCAGCAACACCGACACAGCTACAGTTAGAGAATACCTGGAGGGATATGCATAGTCGCACACACATTTATAGCAGGACACACACACATATAAAGACAGCAATACAAAAAGAGTACTGTATATACACACTCATACGCATGTCCGCAACACTGATTCCCATATGCCCCAAATGGAGTACGACAGCAGAGAGTAAAATAACAAATTAACATTTAGGTGAAAACTACCAACAAAACTCCCTTCTGTGATTAGCGTTTCCATGACATCAGGGTTATCGTCATTTTCATCAGTTCAGTCAAAAAAAAAATATGTGGCAAAAAAATAAAACCATCCAGGCCAAGTTAATCTGACCTGGATGCTCTGCACTCACATAATCTACTAATAGATTTTGGAATCAAATTAATTAGATTTGATTAGATTAATTAAATAACTGGGAACTGTGTGTTAATATTGTCCTCTGTTAAAGCAATTATTGTGCTTATTGATGATATTCCAAATATGACAGATTATTTATTTTGACTGCAAATATCATGACAACTGTGAACTCCATTCAGTGGAGAATAACTAAATGCTTAAATCTAAACAATAGAGTAATACGTCTATAACCTTTTTTTGTAATTGGACACTTTTTCTTTTTACAATAATGCACAGTAACATTAACAAAACTTCATGCCAACATCTGGCCATACATAATTTTCAGTTTTAAGCACGTACCAATGTTGTGAACCAGACAAAGCTGTGCTGTGCAGGCTAGTGCCTGCAATGGTTTTTAATACAGTAAATACATTATCCATGTGTAATATTTTTTTATAGTTTGAGTACCTTGACAACTTACTGTGTTTTTTCCTGAGCCAGTAGAACTGGTGCAGCCGGCAAGACAGGGAGAAACATATGTGATGCCGTTCTCTCCACAGACCGGGTCCCAGTCACTCGCTGAACAAAAACAGTTTGAGTTGCAGGCTGTGAACACCGAGTGTTTATCGTAAGATATCGTATCCACACTGGAAGGATGAGAAAGCACAAATGAGAGGCAATTATTTATTATGTCATTACATAATATCCAGCTGGTCCTCACCAGAAAAACGGTTGTTTTGTACAAGCAGCTTATTACGACCCATATTTACATTTATTGACCTCTAGTGGCTGTCCTATTTATGATGGAAGCAAAGGAGAAAGTTAGGTGACTAGAATAAAGAGCTGTTTAATGCATCCGGTGGTGTGCCTTTAAGAGAAAATTATGCATTCCTTAAATGGCGATGTTGCTTTCTCTCCTAAATGTCACATATTAAAAAAAAAACTTAATGATGTAGGCAAACTTATTATTATAAGTTATTATTTGGGGTTTTATTTAAACGTGGGCAGAGTCAGGGTGGGGTGAGGGCATGATGTTGTGTGAAAGTAAACACAGAATTAATGAGCATTAGCAAATGGAAGATTTTATTTACCACAAGCAGTGCTGTGTTTTGACTGTGTGTGCCAGCTTTAACACATTCACTGTAGGTTAATTAGCGCATAGCACCAATCTGGCGGCTTTTCATCTGTTTTGTCAGCAGTGTCACTTCAGTTGTTTGTGCTGTTGAGGCTCAAGATTAAGACTCCCCAGTGCATTGGGAACACACAGGGGATGAGTTGGTTGGTCTGTTATTTCTGGCTGGGTTTAAGCTTGTGATCACTTTCTGGTTGCCACAGAGTTAAACAGAGTAAATAGCAGTGTTCCTACTTGTTCTGCTAACAGTTCTCATGCTGTTCTTTCATGTGTGGCCCCCATCGAAACCTACGCCCATCCAGTGCCAATTCTGCCTAGATACTAGTCCACATTCAACAACGTTTTGCATTTTCAGTTGGATTTTCTTGTTACTTCCAACCAGATGTACAGTACTTGGGGCGGTAGTAGCTCACCCTGGGAACCAGAGGGTTGTATGGACAACAGTATAGAGAGTGCACTGGACACCTCATCACCCATCTCTTTACATTTACATGTTTATAACCACTGTGTCTGTGTGATTGTAATTCAGGCCTATGTGCCTATGTGTATAAAAAAATGTGTGAAAAAGTAATTTCCCCATTGGGGATTAATAAAGTTAATCTTCTTCTGTAACGTACCTATCCTAGAATTAGAAAGTCCTGAGGTGCATTTAAGATCTGTACTGTGTTGTGCTAAATTTGGAGTAATAATATAATTTGGTAACAGTTACCCCAACACCTTAACATTATCTATGACTCACCTGTTGTATGAAAGTGTCACCCCAGCTACCTTGGCATTCTCGCAGCTCATTGCGAAGAAGAACAGTGACAGGAAGTAACCGATCAGAGATGTGCCAAAGGCAAACCTGGCTGCTCCCATGATATTCAGCTTTAGCCTCTTCATCAGTAAACCTCCAGAAAACATCCCCAGTGCCACAGCTGGGATATTGATCACACCTAACATTAAGAGATACCACACACAGGACCAGTATTAACTGGAATTAGATGTTGCTTTAAAGGCTAAATATGGATTTGAACAAAGACAGACAATATGATTTTATACTGTATCAGAGCTTTCTGACACTAAAACTACATGCATTTAAACTACTGAGACACTTTCAGAGGAAAAAGAAGACTACACAAATTCTGAGTTCGCTTGATCAAAACCGAGCCTTGCTTTTTATTATTTTAGTCTTTTCTCTTATACCTTCATTGAACATCAATGTGAAGACATAGTCTTTTATCTATACCCATGTCATTAGCTCTGGTCACTAATAATGGATTCTCTTTCATATGCAGCCAGTCTGGTCTGTGCAGGCATCTCCCTTGATGAGACCACATGCATGTAGATACTTTCATCTTATGAACTTCATTAGATATTTTATTTCATATGCAAAGCCTTTTCCTTTTCAGAAAGCTCCCGTCTCTGCAGCTGTGGCGGTTAGCATGCTGAATCAAAACATAACCAGCCCAGTTCTCCCTTTAACAATATCCCCTCTCCAAAGGGCTTTTTTCTGCTTCATTCAGCAAATGCAAAACACCATCAATTAACTGGGGGAAAAAACTTGGAATTATAATGTGTAATGTGTAATCTTTACAGTGTATGTTGTGTGCATACTTGGCACAAGGATTACCTAGGCGCATCCAAGCTGTGAAGCAAGCAAAAAAAAGCCTTCCCTGGGTCTGTTATGTGCTGATTTTTAAGGCTGTAATACACATATTATTTATTACCCATCAGAAAGTTGGCCTTTGAGGCAGACTGCCTGAAGTGCTGCTCGATGTACTTGGGCTTGTAGGTGACCATGCCAATGAGGGAGTTCAGCTGAATGATTGTCACACAAAGGTAGATCAAATACACAGGATGTGCCAGCAGAGTTCGCAGGGTTGGAATAAAGTCTGTAGAGGGATACAAGTTGAAGTTGAAACACACACCACTCTGAAATTTTTAAATATGTAATAGTGACTACTGTCTGTTACAATCTCTTATTACTGCTATAAAATTAAGTTGGCTCCTCTGTCTACATGAGATAGTAGGAAGTGAAGGAGTATTGCCTTGTGACATTAGGACAAAATTAAAGCCACTATGTGTACAATTTGAAAATGTCAGACTGTGGCATTGCCCAGTGTCAATACAACATTATCCCAGCTAAAGTATGTGGTGACTTTAAATTGAAAGGTAACCTGTGTAGTTTGTGGCTACTGGGAGCACTATAGAGCAATGTTTTTACCCACATCCTGCTGTTCATTTTACACTATTCCGCTGAATAACATTTCATTTCTGGCAGTAAGGCAATGCGCCAAAAAAGGCAGTGAAGAAGACATTATTATAAACAATGATTTACTACATCTTTTAAAAACTTGCTTTGAAAATGGACTTTGAAAATGGAAGGAACTGAACTCAGCACGTTTGCTGGACCTAAAGGACACACGCTCAATGTGTTTTGGTGAGAAAAGCTAAATGGAAACATAACTTTTGTTTCTTCACAAGAAAACTCCACAGGGCACTCCACAGGGCACAGTGTCCATTGTCAGATTAATTCTACAGCCCATTTATTTCTACATATAGGACCAACAACTACAGGGACCATTTATGGAATCTGAATAACCATCTGAAACATACAATCGAATACATATTCAGTACTTCAGATACCCCCACAGAGCACATAGTTTAACAGCTCTGACAAGTATTAAACACTTTATTTTTGAATTGAAATCCATCCTTACCTTTGGCCATCTCTATGAAACTAGTATTGTCATCTGCAGGATATTTGTGCTTTAAAAGAGGGGAGTCTTTAATAAAACTTGTCTGCTCTGCTGTACACTTTTCTGGGCCCTGGGGCCCGGACATGGGCAGGGAGCGGGGCAGAAACCAGAATGGGATGGCAGAGAGCAGGGTGATGACCCCAGCTACGAGGTAGCCCAGCCACCAGGCGCCCACCCAGCGGGCATCTGCTGGGGTGATGGTGATAGTTTCTGTGGGGGGGATGACAATGAGACATAAATCAATGCTTATGTGATGATCCGGTTGATTAAATTATGGTGCATACTTCAGTGGCTTGTCGTTAAACACAGATCCTGTGTGGTTAAGTGTTGCAATTTTGTGTTTCTGAAGCCTATTCTCTTTTAACTTGACAGGCTGGTCAAATAAAAGGATCCAAAGATGGAGCACTGAGAGCCAATTTGCCATTATTAAGGCACAACAGAGGTCATCGGAACAGCCCCAACAACCTGTAGTCAGGCAGTCAATAATTTCTGAGATAAAAAGCCCAGAGGTTTACAGAAGGTACTTATGTGTTTCATTTAAGTAGTCCTTCATGGTGGACTTCATTGCTTGGTTTAGATATTTGTAATGAACCTATTTTTATCATTCAAAAAATCATATCAACAATTTTTCAAAGGTTTATTAACTGGTCTTGACCTGATTTATTTTCGGATGTGTCTTCTTTCTCAGGTCTTTCTTCTGCTTCTTTTCTATTTGTTTTTGTGTTGGTTCTCCCTCTGCTGCACTCTATTTGATTGTAGCCTAACACAGGGCTTTGTCCTTCCTTTGTCTCACCGTGCCTTGTTTATTACCTAATTGATGCTAATCCTGTACACCTGCTCTGAGTCCGTCAGAGGTACGCATAATGTTTGACATCCTCCTGCAGACACTTCTGATAACATCATGCCTCAGTTTTATGACTGAAAATTCCTTTTTTAGAGCAGATATTTTGTATGTAATGTATTAATAACATTACCATTGGCTCTAGTGTTGCCTAATAATTCCTGATGACATTATGAACGTATTATGAAATTGCAGATTGAATCTGAGCGGAGTAAGTGTGGGAAACCCCCAAATATAGAAAGGGTATCCAACTTACTCTGGTGACTAACATTAAAGTTTCTTTCAAGTAAATATGATACAAACTGACCTAACAAACCAAACCAATGTTTTATGCAACAAGGGTTAACAAACTCTCTAAGATGGGTAGGTTTCCATACTATATGAGAACAACCAGTGTTTTCCAAAATCAATTCAGTTCTTTGTGAGTATAGGAGGAGAGGTTAATTAAATCAGAAGTGTCTAGACAGTCTGCAAATTCGGATAATGGTCTGGCCTGAACATACTTGAAAACTACTTGTGTTTAAACTCACCCATTTTTACAAATCCAATGTCCACATAGATTTTGGCACAAAGGGAGCCCAAAAGGTAGCCAAACACAGGGCCAACCACTGAGATGGTCTGCACACAGCCTAGGATATAATAAACACAAAGAGACACACAACGCATGAACTGCTTAGGACTCTGCTTCAACCATTGAGACACGTCTAGATAGTACACACTACAAAAACCTTTAACACAATTTTTTGAATACATATTGGTTTACACTACATACATGTTTTAAACCTGTTTTTAACCCTCATTTATTTGAGAATGGCTTGATGAGTAAGCTTTTTTTTTCAATAATACCAATTTGCTAATGCAGAACCCTAAAGGGATTTACTGCGTCATATTTGAGCAAAACACCACTCATGCATATGACAGAGCTTTCTGCAATTACCGTTAGATACTGTGATGTGCTCTGAAGAAGTGTTTGCTGCTTCACAGAGGGGCAGCAGCCAAATCTTCATTATTGTTTCATGCAATAAGCCTGTCACATGCATATTTTCTGAAAATAACTTCTACCCTGAAATCATCTTTTTAACTGTCTTGATTGCAGAGTGCATTTGAGACCTGAATGTTCACGAAGAGCGTTTTTGCAGTTTCGACAGCAATAAGGAGAAAGAGATGGGCCTCTTTGCACTTCTAGATCTGAAGGAATAATAAATGGAATTTGAAGCCTTAAGTCTTTTTGTAGTACTTTTATTTTTACCTGAAATAGCTACTGAACATTTGCAAGTGGTAACATACAGCTACATGGGAAATATGCTGTACCTACAACACTACAGTGAAATATCTTATGATATCAAGTGAAGCCTATTTTAAATATAACTTCAGTCCAAATCTAACACTATTAGTTGTATGTATCAGCAAAAATGTATCTCCAATGTCAGGTCAGTGATTAAAAACCTTATTATTAAGCATATGTACATATTAGATAAGGCTGAGTAGAGCTGATGCACTGGTGCAAGAGTCTAGTTGCACATTTAAGAAATCACATTTTGCAGATAATGTGCATGGAATATTAAGTGTGTTTATTTTTTCTCTCATGCACTGGGTGATGTTTTTCCTACCAACATATAGCGCAGCATTCTCCTCAGTAGCAAAATCATCTATATAAGAGATCCCAAGTGGCTGAACAGGCGTCTCTCCAATCCCCCGCAAGACATTCCCCAGGAGCACATAGATCCACATTGACAGGTTGGACTCGCTTTCACAACCTGGAGGAAGAAAATTAGCATAATCGGATGTCTTTTACTTGACTAAACTAGAGTGCGTGCATGTGTGTGTGTGTGTGTAAATGCTTACTTGTGGCTGGCACTACAGGCAGTTTACCACCTTGGGCCACGTCTGCTGGTGAGCCCACTGGACAAGGAGAGGGGTTTAGTGTTGAGTTCACTACCCACCGCACAGATGTTTCAAATTCATAGCTGTACACAAAACACAAAAAGAGCAGAGATGAAATAATAATAACTTGACATGGTTATAGGATACAATCTATGAATTTTACTACTAATACAACAACAACAAATCTACAGGAATCACAAATGTGTCAGATCATTGAAATGTTTTTTTTAAATGCATTTAAAAATTTAATTTTTTTTTTTTTTTACTTACCGTCCGATGATGAAGTGAGGCAGAGCAATGATGAAGGTGCCAATGGACATCAGCACACAACCCACTGCAATGATCTTTGGCCGATGGAGCTTGGCCCCAAAGTAGCTGACGAAAGCTATTACCAGCAGGTTACCTGGGAGGACAGAGGCAGCCAGAAATATCAGGCATTTATAGTGCTTTTGTACACAAGATGGAGAAAGAGCAAGAGTTGGAGCAAATAGTCAGTTTGGGAGGGAATGCATCATTATATTAATTGTATACCTTTTTTTTGTGCTACTGTGGATACTTGCTACCCACTGCGTTCATCTGTAATTTAGTGGCAGATGAGGTGCTGTCCTCACACTTGATTTGTTCTCTTCGTGCTCAGAGAGATTTCTATGATCGACAGCATGTAGCAGCAAACGTGTTCGATGGCACAAAACTTAAACAATGCTGGGTGGGAACATGGCCATTTCTCTATCGTCACCTTTTAGTGCATTTTTTCTATGATCAATGACATGGAAACTCCATTGTAAACGAGATGGAAAACTGACCTAGAAAGATAAGCTTATGCCATGCTGCCTGACCTTTTTCTATTAAAGGTTAATTTGATGGGATGATGTCAAACTCTCCAACAACCATCAACTATTGTTGTGTGTGTGTGTGTGTGTGTGTGTGTGTGTAATAAAGAGAGAGAGCCACATGGGAATTTATGAATAAATGTCCATGTGTAACCATTATGTGTGGTTTTTAAGAAATTTTTAGAAGATATGTTAAGTACATCATTCTTAGATTCATGCAGCATATGTACGTGTGTATACATCAGCTGAGCTCAACTGGCTTAAGTCATCTTTTGCTCTTTTTTACTCTCCTCTCTTCTTTATTAATTTTTATTTCTCTCCTCTTCCCCCTCTTCTCTTTCCCTTTGTCTTCCCTCTGCTCTGTTCCCCTCTCGTGTTTCTTGCACTTTCCTTTTTCGTTCCTTTCATGCTGCCCTGCTCTGCCTCTACGTTACCCTGGCAACGGTCCTATAGAAAAAGCCTGTTGCCTAGGCCACACGAGAGAAGCAGCTTTCACAGGAGACGGAGAGATGGAAAGATGGAGAGATGGAGGGACAGAGAGAGATCCAGGGTTTTTAGCACTGTCGGCGCTGGAGGTGTCATCCTCACTTTTTCCTCCAGCAGATACACCTAACCTCCATTAGAGTTTTTTTTCACTACTACCGTGTCACCGTGGGCCAAAACTGCCTCCCTGACAGTAAAAAGAACAGAAGTAGAATGGTTGATAGCGTATGACGACTTTTATCTATGAATCATGTCTTTTTGGGTCTCTTCTCTTAACTGGCCTAGAAACAGGTCAGTAGACAATCTGGGAACACTGTAGGCTGGATTTCATCAAGAATTCTTCAATGTTAAGAGGAAACAATGATTACAGTATGTACAATATTTTTGGTATGTGTTCTGTAGTACTGCTGCTGCTAATGAAATCCGTGGTTTGGTCAAATCATTTAAATCCAACTTTTATTCTATGTGATATGAGACTACCAGTATATTAGTACTATAAATCACGTTCAACTTCCTATAGTTAACCATTCAACCTATAGGACGAGTGGTACTTTAAAATTAGATCACACAATCCATCAGAACCAGAGATATTGGCTGTTTTATTCCATGCTTTATTCTTCCTTGTCAAAACCTGGCACCTACATGACCCTCAATGCGACTAGAGCATAACACATTTATTTTATTTTCAAACTCCACCTGGAACTTTTTGACATGTGTAGTAGTACTCCCCAAGACCTGCAAACAGACTCTGATGTTTAAAACTAGTGGAGTTGCCCTTTAAAAGCAGCTGATTCATAAACATGTTCTCCCTCCTGCAGGATCAGCCAATTTAATTTTGTATTGAATAGATTATGTGTCCTTAAGATCACCTACATTCCCAGGGCGGTTAATGTCTTATAAACATCTGCACAGAGTTGGGCAGTCTGTGTTACACTTCCACAACAAATTATTTTAGTATTGCCCGAACAGTCCATCTGCCCCTAGCTGATTCATATGTATATTAATATTAGGGAAAGCCGATATTAAATTAATAGTATAGAGAAAACCTTCATTCAGGAGTACAGCTGCCCACAGCAAAAAGAAATATCAGAGTCTGTTATGTCCCTGCTCGACACTATGACTCACCACACACACACACGTACACACACACACACCCCTCTGTCCTCCTCTTGGAAGCCTGATGAATCCTTTATCTGCAGCTTGAATACCTCTGTGACCCATTCATATTTCCGTCCCAAAGACAGAAAGAGAGAAGGGAGGGGAGCCCATGACACAGAGGTTGCAAGCAGAACAACAAAATAACAGCAGTGACTGGCAGGCCTACTCACCTATCTCGAAGCTCCCGTCAATGACACCTATTAGGTAACTAGGGATGTCAAAGCGTCTCTCCAGCTGAGTTATTGTACTCTTCATGTAGCTCCCCGACAGAGCCTTTGCAAAATAGGCAAAGGACAAAGCCACCAGAAACATCTGGGAGAGGAGAGTGAGATGAAAAAAGATAGTGAGAAAGAAACAAAGAAAGGGATTTTACATTAATATGCACAGGAGCATGAAAATACATACATGTTAACATGGTGCTTTAACCTAATTATCACTGATATCAATTGTGTGATGTTCACACTTGTGTTTTGTCCACTGAGAATGAAAAAAAAAAGAAAGACAAGTGTGATATTGCTGTGTTTGCTACAATGCATGAACTACCCTCATTAACCTACTTTCACTGGTCCAATGTTCACTAATTAACAAGTCCCAGCATCATAGGAATAATGGGGTTGAGTTGAGTGAAGGGTGTAGAGTGGGAGGAGAGGGATGGAGATGAACACAAAGTGTAGGTCAGATAGCATGAACACCCAGCAACAATGAGAGAATAACTGGCTTACATTTGAGTGGAGACAGCTGGATAGATGTTTATTAATACAAGAGGAAGTAATCCATGTAGGATGGATTAGCATAGGGCTAGACGGAAGTTGCCTGTAACAAAATAAGCCAAAAAAATGCATGGCATAAAAAAGGAAACGAGAAAGGACGTACTTGTGGATTATTTTTTTTTCATCTTTATTGTTTTAATTTGTGCTATAATGAGACTGAAGAGACACCTCTTCACCAACAGTGACTGTGTGCAGATCAACAGTTCTCACAGAGTTACGACCAAAGGCAATCTAATAAACAGCTTCACTGCTGGCAGAGGTCCAAAATGCCAGACAAATTCAGTTATCTATTAAAATTAAAGTATTCACAAAACCTACTCAGAGGTGGGGTCATTTTTTATATACTTTTTTTACTGAGTAGGAAATGTCAATTCCTGATCTAAAATTAAATAAGACAAAAACGAATAAAACGACAATATGTTTTTACATTATAAGATGGATACAACATTCTTAATTACTTAAGCACTCCACACTACTTCCTAAATAAGAGAAACAAATTATAAATAATCAGCATCTCGAGATATATTCTAAGTGACAGACACCAAGTTCCAAAGTATTGTTTTCTTCTCCCACGACCTCTTTAGATTCTTCCAATTTTAACTTAATTATTTTTTTTCAGTTATATTATTAGCTTTTTATTATCTAAATGTGTCTGTTGTGATATACTTAAAGAAAGATAACGTACTAATATTACACTCATTTCCAATTTTAATTTAAATTGAAATACTGGATACTGTATTATTTTAACCAATTTAGACCAATGCCTTACCTACAATCCCCACAACAATCTAGTCCGCTTTGTGGTGGATGCACCTGGCATCCTATCACTATAGACAAACACTATACTATAAATATCTACACAAACATGGTAGCCAACTACTTTTACAGCAATAGCGATCATCCAAAGCATTAAAGAAATACCACCAGTACAACATAGAGTTTAAAGATGCAACAATAATACAGACTGTGGGATCACTGGGAACAATGCCAAGGACAACAACAATTCCCCTGCTTCCATGAGATTTTGTGTAATTGAAAAAGTTCTGATCTTGCCTTGAGGTGGGGACCTTGTAAAGATAGGAAGCATTTTGGATTTAAGAATAAAATACAGTGGCCGTCTAGATTAAATGAGGAAATATATATTTCTTTTCCTTCCACTGTATATCTGTTCTGTTTTATAACTTTATGTATATATGTTTGTAGTGTTTATTGAGTAATTATTATTCCCCCGTGTATCATGAAATGAACTGTTCTTAAAGAGAACAGAAAATAAACTTTGTTTATGGTTTAATACACTTTCCTGTGAAATACGTCAGAAATGAAAACAAGTTGTGTTCAAGAATGGTTGACTAGTTTAATCAAATCTAGGGTCACATGTTTTCCCCTGCTTGTCTATAGGATTATATGTTATCTCATAGGATAATTATATTATTAGGTATTTATTTTCAAAATACGTCATAGATATAAACTGTATGTACCAGGGAACCGACCAGCAACACACTCACAGACACAAAGGGGCCTCCATGATAATCTTGGCGTAACATCAAAAGAATTTGGACATGCTAAACCCAATTATTAAATTATCTGAATCGGTGTATGTTTCTTTTACCCCCATTGAGCTGGGCTGACTAATTGTAGCTAGATGTCAGTAAGACAAATAGAGACCAAGCTATAGCTGGATGAATGGTTTGCTTGTTAAGCAACTAGTTTTTATAATTTATTAAAGGTCCAGCGTGTAACATTTAAGAGGCTCTGTTGACAGAAATATAATATAAAATTAGGTATGTTTTCATTAGTGTATAATCAGCTGAATATAGGCACTGGTGCGCTTTTGTTACCTTAGAATGAGAAGTTTTTTTATATACAAACACCGCGGGTCGCCTTCCATGGAGTCCGCCTTGATCAACAGCCATGCTCCTAGAGTAGCCCAGAAGGGACAAACCAAACGCTGAGTCGAGATAGGGGTGATCGGGTTTTTATACGTTTAGCAGCCACAACTGCACCGCTCATCGTGGTGTGCACAGAAGAGATCTACCTCTTGGCCACACAACGCTTTGTCTTGTCCTCATGCTTCCATTTTGCTTTCACTCCTCCTCCTTGCCTCTCTATATCTCTATATAATTGGCCTTGCGAAAAAAACATGGCGTGAATGAAGTATCACTCCAATGATTATTATGAAAATACATAATGGTTTTTGGCCTTGGTCGTGGTTCTTATACTAGATGTGAGAAAAGCAGCGGACATGAGAATCACATTACACAAATGATCAGGCAAAGACATACCATGTTCATATACAGAACAATGGCTGGAAGTATATATAGCATACCTACAGTACATGTATACTCCAACAAAATTACTCATAAAGTGAAACTAATCAGCAATGTGGATACAGTTGGATCTTTTGATGGCTTAGTGAGAGTATTTAGTGTAGATAGATTGAAAGCAGCTGACTATACTACCAGTGAGAGAGGAAAATAGCAGCTGTGAGTAAAAGTCTAACAGCTTAAGAGTAACATATGAGTAACAGCTTGTGTTATCCCTGTACCTCTCCTTGTGTCTCTGTTTACATGATATGATGTAAGAGGGCCCATCACTTCAAACAGATCATGTTGACCACCAGTGCTGACCGCAGGGTGTTAGCAAAAGTAGCTCATCACATGTGCATTTCCTGGGGGGGTTTAATTTGCAAGCAAGCATGCATACACTTATGTTTCCTTCCAAACCTACGAAAAGGCTTTTCATATTTAATATTTAATCTTGTTGGTGAAAACCTGTGTTCTGAGCAACATTGTCTTGATCAGAGGTTTATGTGAAACTAATATGCAATCTAAGTTATCTTCAATAGAAGGGACGAAAAGGAATTGACAGAAAATGTTATCAGCATTGGCTCTCAGTGGGAATGAAGCTAATCAGTTAATTATATTACCTTACATTTCAGCTGATTCCCGTTCAGTTATTTAGTGGCTCACAATGACAAAGTTTGTACCACAATGGGTAACTCTATTAGAGAAGTCAGTAAAAATCATTGTAATATCAAAGATACTTTTTGTTACGACCTCTATTTCCTCTTCTCAGATGACATTGCTTTTATTAAATTTAGTTTACTCATCCACTGCAACCTTTAATGTGCCATGGTGAGGACCACACGTAAAGCAAATGAGAACTGAAAGCTGATTCAGGTGGCTGATATCAGCTTCTCACACACATTCCCCTCACAATGATTTGTAATGGAATTTTGCTCTTATTCAACAGTTTCTAGAGAGTGAAAAAATAAAAATGAGATAGAAATAACATGTGATAAAGGTTACAGGCTGAAATCAAATTCACCATTTGTTCCTCCTATTAAGGTATTTTAGAGCTGCACCCAGTTACACCATCTACATGCTTAAGTTTACAAAGAGCCCTGAATGTGCACTGCACACTGTAAAACCTCAATTACTCTGACTATCTAGGAAAAATAAAAAATAAAAGAAAACATTTCAAGGTAAATGTTCATTTGCTCAAAGAACCTTCTAGCATTGAACAGCCATTCTCAATTCACTACATGAAAAATCTTTCCTTTGTGAGATCAGGCTCAGCTGAAAACCATTTACACAGCAATGTTATGCAGTATTATTTCATTTTCTGTAAATACAATACAGGTACTAGCCTGTTAAATGCATATCAAATGTCAACAGAACTATATTCCATCATCTAGAAATAAAACTTCATCTATCAAGGAAAGTTATTTTTACATTCAAGCTTTGTACAAATTAAACAAATCAGATATAATGTGTTAATATGAGCTTTAGCGGTGCTGGTTGGTGGATTCTGTTACATCCGGTGGGAGCAAGGCTAGTTTCCCCTTGTTTCCAGTCATTTTGCTAAGCTAAGCTAACCAGCTGCTGAATCAGCCCTTGTATTCAATGGCCAGATCGATCTCAGAAAGGACTATGTCATTACTTTCCTTATTGAGTAAATCATAAAGAAACTAAAGAATTAGTAATTAGTAACAGGCTACTTTTTTCTGCATCATGTCATGCTCATTTTGGGATTTGCAACAAAGGCATGCATTGTGACATTTTTATTCTGTAGTTTTAATTAGCTTTTAGCAAGTAGCAAATAAGCAGTGGCCTCATTGTGATTAAAGATTACTAAAAAGAGATTCACATTGGGAATGCTTGAAAATGTGAACAAAGCCTCCTTCTGACCTGTGACCCGCTTTTGTTCTTAGCTCATTGATGTCACCCTCCTAATACGCTGAGACTAACACAGGAGTCTGACACACACACACACACAGTTTTCTATTATTTGTGAAAGGGATGTCAAGAAGTAGAAAATAATGTATTACAATACATAAATGGCATGATTAGAAAGTGTGCTAAAAGTGAGTTTTGAGATGGTGTCTTAGGTAAGAAATAAAAAGGAAATTAAACAGGGGGACATTGTCTCACCAACGTTTTAGTATTATTGGTGGATTTAACAAAAAGAAGAGAATAACACTGAGTACCGGATTAGAGTCGAAACTGGCCGTGCCATGTCCCACCCAGCCGGTTAGGGAACCCAACAATTCTCAGAATTGTCTGAGAATTCTGAGAAGAAATAAAAGTCTGTCCAGCCACTGCAGTCTGTATTATGATAAGCTGCTTGAACACCATTGTCTCACATCACTTTCATGTAGGAAAAAGCAACAAGAGTGTCTGATCCCATTTAGGGTTTTACTAACTTTGATGTTATTGGCAGAAGACATTCTGTCAGCCAACTGGACTTTTTTTTTTAAAAGGTTGTTCAAGGTTGGAGAAAGAAATGAGAAAGAAGAAAGAATAAAAACCTTATCTGGTCCATTTATAAATATATGAGATTCAAATCATGTACTGCCTTATTTTCGTAATCTTTCTTCAGAAGGAAATGCGGATTAGCATTATGACTATGGCAAAAGGACATTGTAAATAAAACAACATGAAGTTGCTACAGTAGAAACTCATTAGCTTAAGTGTACTTGATTCAAGGGTGACATGTGCACTTGATGAGGCAAAACAGCTACAGACACATCACAGTCATTTTAAAAAGGTTATTTTGGGAAAATGTTAACCTAAATTCTCTGAATCTTTATTCTGGAAGGGTAATGATGTCTTTACAGCCCCGCTGTAGTTTAGTCACATAGTCCACATACTAGGAAATGCAACTTTCGCTTAACAGCAGCCAGAGAGTGGTGACAGTTAACGGTAATGCTAAAAGAGTGGCAAAAGTAAACGAAGGTTACAGGGCCTTGGTGGCCTAGGGATTAAGGCGCTGACCACAAACCACAACATCATCGATTTGCCCCCGGCTGTGGAGCTTTGTTGCATGACATTCTGCACCTCTTTGCCCCCCTATTTTCCTGTTTCCACTGTCAGCAATATAATAAAGACATAAAATGCCCCCAAAAAGAAGAGTCATTAACTCAGCAAATGACAATGATGTCAATCATACATAAATACTTATGTGAAGTTTGCTTTATCTAACATCTGCCATGCTACTAGTCATTTGTAAGAGTAAGATTGTGCCATTTCTTTCAAACATTGCCCGAGCCCCAGCAAATGCTTGTGTATAAAATTGCATAATATTTATTTATCCCTAATTGTCAACAGTCATTTTTCAAGCTACTATAAATGCATAAAAGTTATCGTTGATACTTACTTGCCACTTCCTGCATGTGGTTCGGTAAGGTTAGAAAAAAAAAAAGACTTGGACTTTTTTAGCAGTCTTTTTTAGGACATTAGTTTGTTAACTGAGTTGAATTTCCAAGTTCAAGAAAGCATTTTAAAACTCTACTTTAAAGCCAACATGGATGAGAAGTGTTAGAACATGACAACTTAGCAAACTCCATCTGCTATTTACGAACATGTAAAATGGCTAAAAGATCATCAGAACAGCAACTAGCTCTCACCTTAAAAATTAGATTTCTTTGTCATCTGCCTTTCCAAGGTCAAAATGAACTTTCACACGCAGATTGTATTAGGTCTTTGACAAAGAGAGGATCTGTTTTCTGAGGTTTGTTTTGTAAGCAAAAGGAAGAAAGGCAGCGAGAGCGCTGACAGCTTTCTCCCAAATGAATTCTGGGAGAAGGCAAAATAAAACTGAATATACATACCAACAATATAAGTGCTAAGATACCCTACCTAGAGTCTGGTATATATGCCAGATGTACAGTATATATACCAGATGTGTTACATTAGTGGAAAACCTCATATTAAACAAATGCAGTATATAGAGGCAAAGCTTCAAAGGAACTATGTCGATACAGAATTTAATAAGTATTATTGATCAGCCAAACAGCACCATGAAAAGACTCTGCATACCTATTTGTTTTTTTCTGAAATATTATGGGATGCATTTTCCATCTAAAGTCAACAGTGTGCAATCTGACTGCCAAGCATTGATTGATCACAGAGCCTAACAATATCAATCAGCAATATTAAATAAACAGCTATACAACAGTGAGAGCTGTCTTGCCTTAATATGGAGCTTTCTTCCTGCAGTTTCTGTGCACACCCTCCACCACCTCATTACAATCGAGAGCTTCTTAAGATACTGAACATTTCCCACTGACAACTTCTACAATTCTTGCAGTTTAAAACACAAAAACATTCATCATTCAAGTTTGCTTTTTACCCTTACACGTGCACACACATCCCACTAGTGACGTTTCTTGGAAACCCATATGTAAGACTGTCTGTTGACTGACTACCGGATCTTATGATACCCAAAGTTTTAACCTAAAAGGTGAGGCACTATGGCCCTCTGGTTTTCTTTTAACTGATGGGAATGCCACAATAGTGTATTGATGAATATAAGAGTAAAAGCATGATCCATTTCCTCTGGCATTCTACTATTTCCTTTATATTGACGCATATACAATATCCCTCATGGATACACACATCATCCTTGTGGAACTGACTTGTTGGACTGTTGCTGTAATTTGGTTATTTAGTTTGTACTAGTCTCTACACACCTCCCCAATATGCAAAGACACACACACACACACGTAACATCTACAAGAAAAATAGGTGTCAGCTGGAGCCTTTTTCACCCTTTCACCCATGTTAGTTTGTGTACCTTCAGGCTGGTGCAGGTAGAGGAGCGTGGTTCTCTGGCTGCAGCGTCACTGCGTCCGTTCCGCTGTGTGCGTCCTTGCTCAGCTGCCATCCTCCTGAAACGTCTGTGTGTCTGCTTAGCAGAAGTCTCCCACGTAATGCAATTTCTTGGCACTGATGCATGCAACCCTGCAAATGGATAATTCAAGCATGTGACCCACTTTTCATCCTCGACACAAAAACAGAAACATGTCTGCAGCAGTCAGCAGAGGGGAGACTGACACACAAACACACAAACAATATATGTATTTGTTCTGGAGAGCTTAAGACTTAAATCACAACTAAAAAGTCAACATTGTAATGGCACAGGTGACGTGTGCACTTTTTGAGAACAAAAGGTTTTTATTTCCAGTTAGCTATTTTAAGCCACAGTATCAAAACCTCTTAGCTAAACATTCCTACATATCACAGCTACATAGTTTTTTCTGTTGTTCGGCCAGTAAGTGAAATCATGTGACCAAGTACAATGAAGCATAAACCCGGGTTGTAAGTGTGGTAAAACCCATAATCTTAAACCTAAATCTCAATGCACTAAAACGACATCTAAACCACTTGAGAAGACTGAAGCAGTGAACTGTCAGTGTGCAAAGGTTTTGCAAACAGGATGAAAATGAATCCCCATTAAAGATAAATACTATGTGTGGGTGCCCGGTTAGCTCAGTGGGTAGAGCTGGCGACCTATGTACTGAGGAGGCTTAGTCCTTGCTGCCCAGGGTTCGAA